GACCATGTTGCATGTGAACAATTGAGGTAAACACACTTCGGGGCAGTCGCGTGTGAGCATGGCACGTGCTGATAGAATGTGATACAAACACGTCCAACAATAAAAAGCCTCAAGATTACGGAATTCTCATGGGAAAACGGCACTCTGCTGGTGAATAAGAGGAACATTATAGAGAGGGCTGTGTATAGTTTGGAACTCAGAAAACGACGAAATTGTGCTTCCAAACTGTGTACGGACTTAAGTTTAGAATGAAGCTGCATAAAGAGAATAAGCAAATGTAGATTTTTTCGTAACGTGTGCGTTATATAAATTGGTTTAGAATAAAACACCATAGAGAATAAACGTATGTTCAGGTGTATGCAATGTGTGCGATTTCTCTGAAAGGCTTATGTACGGGGCTCAGTGCCTCTAGCCTAATTTTGTTACAGAATGATGATGTATAAATGATACAAATGATTGTAGTTGATAACTTAGAACTTAGTTTTTGAGAGCGAACAATCAACAAAGTTAACGCCGTGTGAAGTTAAGAAATCATATCTCGCACGATGGGAATAGTGGGGGATATAGATTGGACCCTACTCGTCCACGAAACTACAATTAACAGAATTAATTGTATTTATGTAGCAAATGGTTTGTTTTAGTGGTGCTATTAACGTTTTGGTAATACATCAACGTTTGTTTGGGTCTTGTGTCTGCACATTTTGACCTTAAAGTAGTTGACCAAGGCAAGGTGATAACAGATGTCCAGGGTTAAGGAATGTCTTAGCTGCTGTGTATCTAGGCACACACATGTATTTTCTATGAAAGATGTTTTGGAGATTAATTCCATCGAGCTGCATTCAGTGAGAAGTCATTCAGCTTTGTAGCTGCGGATATATTTACCCACAGTTTTAGCAGCTACACTGTATTATTACTTACGTTTCTTTATTGTTATTTGTACCATGGCCAGAAATGTGCAGCATTTACGCGATACGCGAGGGCGCAACAGTAGGGCTTCACGTGACTCAACTAACCAATCACAGCACAAGAATGGCATCGCACACAGACTCTGTGATAAGTGCTCAGCCCATTGTCAAGTAGTGTTAGTTCATGGTAACAAGCGTCTGATATGTGCAGAGAAGTTTATTATTATAATATATATTGTTCTTATTGTTACATTATTAAATCTAACTCTGTATCCGAGTAGTAACTATACTGTACCAAGTCAGGTACTGATGATGTACAGAGGTCATATACTGTATTCCAGAATAAGCCATTACCACTGATTTATAACTTTCATTTTTGTTTTATATGTTATTCATGAAAGAGTTCATGAAAGATTATTTTAATTTGTTAAATCGTGATCTTATTCTTTTTATATTCAAATAATTGAATACTGTGGGTAAAATTGGTCTTCCACTTCTTATTTGCATTTTCCCTTTACTACAAGATTATTTTGGAACAGTTGCAGCATTAAAAATTTAAATAAATAGCAATCTGAAAGAAGAATTTTGCATAATTATTAAATGATGATAAGAATTTTGGATTAAGAGATTAGTTAAATACTGAGTAGTGATATGGTCAGTCAATTTATGTAGAATCTGATAATATGATTGAAAATACTGATTGAATTCTTGGCCTTGCACTGGGCAGTTTACATTTGTGCCAAGTGCTCTTTTTGGACTCCATTGTACAGTGGTAAAAAATCTTCAATTGCCATGAAATTTTTTAATCAGACTCTGTATGTTACTGCTATCAACTGTTGCTATCGGCAACGAATTAATTTCCCTTTGTTTCTGAGTGAATCTACCGTCTAAAATCACAATTACTGAAAATATTTGCGTTTTGCTGAGGGTAGTCTAGGCAATATACGGCAAACATGTTAGTACGTGTGTACAACAGAATTATTTAAAAAAACCTAGCGATATTTGGTCAGGAGTTGCTTGTAGCATAGCACAGCGTTGCTGTCTATCGGCATCAGGCCGTTAGTTTGTCAATTCTCACGAATTACCCACGAATCGCGAACCCATTCATTTTCCTATGGCAATCTAGCAACTCATTAAAAATGCACGCATGCGCAATGGGCTAGGCGAGACGTCATGCAGTGCATTTCTGGGGATGACAAATATGATGTGAGAGAAGCTCACATCCCCGCCGGCCTTTTATTTTCATTTGCGCCAACGTTTTGCTCCTATAGCTGTTGTGATTTCTCATATTTTTCATACTTAATCCTGGTTACATTCATTAACAATAACATACTTTATTATTTTTATATTTGGCACTTATATAGTTTGGGGGATGTTTGATTATCTCCCCAGTTCTGTAACTCTGTGTCTTATTAATTTTCGTCATTAATAAATGACAATTACAGTCATATGGACTTATATTACTTAATTTGGAGCAAAAACAGAGCTTCGTTGTGCTTGTGAACATTTGGCTACATAAATCACGTTCTTCACATTGTATCGACCTCTACAACCAGGAAGTAATTTCACTTTATTTTCATGTATTTTTGTACAGTGTACAAAACAAACAAAAAACAAGCGCATATTTTGAGGTCCAAATCAAGAACTATTGCTTAAACGAGATGACAGCAACGAACAATGTGATCACGCTGAAGCACACAAAGCCAGATTTGACTTCAGTGTTTTAGTTTTATGTGACCACTCGCGAAGGACAAATGTTTCAAAAGCACCTTGAATTAACCTGAATTTACTGATCATATTTCGGCTTTTCTAATAATACTGAACAAAATCGCTAGACATTTCGTTACATTATAAAACAAGGCAAAAAGCACGGATACCACCAATGTCTCCTCGTTAGTAAAAGTCACAAGACGATGAAACTGTGCCAACTGAACAGGGCACTTTTAATCTCCCTCGACGTGAATCATACTAAAGAGGAAAAGAAATTAGACTCCCAAATAAGGAACAGGCTACAAAACTTTACGTCACAGTACGCTGGGGCCTAACACTGAAGGGTTTATAACGAGAAAAACTCACAAAATATTGACAAGATCCTACAGGCAGGCATCCTGATATATTGTTCCAACACGTGCCATATCGACCCTGTTATAATGAATCCCATGAAGACGTTTGGGGGATTGTTTGTGATATTTTTATTATCATCTTCAGGTAAGAAGGCTTTATTTTCTTAACATATTCTTATATACTCACGAAGTGACATACATATTTATCTAATTTGTAATTGAAGTTCTTCCCAATGTTTACAGAGTCACAAAAAGACAGGTATAACTACTGCACGGTTTCTTATCTGAAAACCGGAATATCGTCACAGACTGATAACAAAGAGGATTTGAAAAGTAAAATTATATATTCAGATTTCCTAAAAAGGATTTTTATATAGAGTGACGCAAGTTGAAAGTAGCGTTTGAACGATATAAGATATCCCAAATGGTGAAATTGTCCACACTCAGTCTCTGAAGCCCATAGTGCCATGTTTAATATTTTGCTTTCATATTATCGAAATTATTTTAGGGGGAGGGAGGTAAATTGTCTCAAAGAATTGTCATTGTTAAAAAAATTACTATGGCTAGTTAAAGGGTTGTGAAAAGCGTCACTAAGGTAAACATGAAGACAGAATTTGAAGTTCAAAATGGCCCTGTCACACCTTGACGATTTAGCCAGCGAACGCCAACGTATGAAAAATTTGGCCAATAGGCTGGAGTACGTCGAATGTTATGGGTAAATTTTGTATAAGTTAAGAGCACGCTGAAGCACGCCGGCATACGTCGTAGTACGTCCAGGTAGTCACGCACAAAACTTTTCGACGTATGTCAACGTATGATTCATAAGTCCCGCATACGCGGGCAATAAGTTATGCGATCGTTGACGCCCGTTCACACACGTTATGTATAAGTTACTCACAAGTCGTAATACGTCAAGATAATATCAAGCGTACCCAAGACGTTTGTTCAACCTATGATTAACGTGATTTTAACCTATGGGTTACTTATATCAAACTTACCTCAAACGCATATTGACATATTTAGACGTATTTGACGCGTTCCGAACAACCCCAGAACTTACTGAACGCGCTGCTAACGTTGAGCTACCGTATGATGGCGTGTTGGCAGCGTTTAGGGGAATTGGGGTATAAAAATGGGTTCACAGGAGGAACCCGTCAGTACTCCTCAAGAATCCATGGTGAGCAGATGTGCATGTCACCCGAGAGAGAATGAGAATCTGACAAGGCACGTGATCGTCGGCCATACGCTGCCGTGCGGTATGCGTAAGTTAGACTGGCGTTGGGCATAAGTTGTGAACGCCGGCATAACGCTACGCATTCGTTGGTGTAAGTTGTCTATAAGTAATGGAAACGTTCTATTTAAGTTACTAATCGTCATGT